TATAGACGGTTTTTCAATTTCACATGGGGAATGGTGGTATACAAGGTTGAAACATCAAAAGTTTTGATAGAACTAATTTCAGAAAAAGACCGAGATTTAAAATCATCCAGAAGTTCTTTAGAGTTTTTAAGAATCCACATATGGTTAATACCACTACGCGAGTAAACAGTTTCACAGTATTTCTGAAGACCCTCTTTCACAATGTAAACTGTATATTTGTGTTCATTCATATTTTTTACAAAAATAATCAGTAACAAAAAAATCAGATATAGGTATTCGAATGGGTTTAAAACTAATTGTCTGAAATATGAAGTTACCATTGTTATGTTCATTGAAAGCATCTCTTCATAAAAGCGCTGATTTATTTTTTATAAACTTTGTCACTAGTTTTGACTTTTAAAAGACTCTCCTTGCAATACAAACATTCTTTTATTCGCAATTGCTAATGGATAAGATTGTTTTACGTGTCAAACTTTTTTGAGTCAATGTTTTTACTAAATTAAACCACACATCTACAGCGCCCTTATATTAGGTAGAATAATTGTACATTGATTAACTTGATCTTGGTGTTTTGCTTTTTTCTTAACAGTCATTAAAATATTCCTGTTTAAAAAGTCGGCGAAATTTTTGCTTCTGATTTTCTAAGATTATTTGAAGAGTTTAAAAATTCTCCTGAAATAATTAATACAAAATTGTCAATAATTGTATATTGATGAAGTGAGTAATCAATGTATAATGGAAAACAGTGTATACTATATATTTTTGTTCATTCATATTGTTTACAAAAATATTCAGTAACTAAGAGAGTAGATATATGTGTTCGAATGGGTTTGCAACTAATTGTTTGAAATATGAAGTTACCATTGTTATGTTCATTCAAAGCATCTTTTCATAAAAGCGATGAAACTGGTAACTTAATATTTCAGACAATTAGTTGTAAACCCATTCGGACACATATAAAAATATTCGAATGCCTGTTAAGAAAAAAGCAAACCATCAAGATCAAGCAAATCAACTGTACAATTATTCTACCTAGTATAACGGCACTGTTGAGTGTGGTTAAGTTTTAATACAAATATTGACTTACAAAAAGTAGGCACGTAAAACAATTTCATCCATAAGTAATTGCGAATAAAAGAACGTTTTTCTATTGCAAGGAGAGTCTCTAAACAGTCGAAATTAGTTACAAAGTTTGCAGAAAAATAAATCAGCGCTTTCATAAAAAGATGCTTTCAATGAACATAACAATGGTAACTTCATATTTCAGACAATTTGTTTCAAACCCATTCGAACACGTATATCTGCATTCTTAGTGAATGATTATTTTTGTAAAAAATATGAATGAACAAAAATATATAGTATACACTGTTTCCCATTATAGATTGATTACTTACTTCAAAACAAGTACAAAGTTGAAGAGCGTTGAGGACCAAAAGTTCCAAAAAGTTGTGCCAAATACGGCTAAGGTTATATGTCTGGGATAAGAAAATCCTTAGTATTTAGAATAATACATATGTTTGCAAACAGTAATTTCCCATTTCTCAGCAGTAACATACCCTCTGCTCCTTCGTATGGTGTTTACATATCTCATTTTTTTCTTAAAATGTCCTGTACCAAGTCAGGAAAATGGCCATTGTTATATTATAGTTCGTTTCTGTGTGTACATTTAAATGTTGTGTTTCTGTTGTGTCGTAGTTCTCCTCTTATATTTGATGCGTTTCCCTCAGTTTTAGTTTGTAACCCGGATTTGTTTCTTTCTCAATCGATTTATAAATTTCGAACAGCGGTATATTACTGTTGCCTTTATTATTCATCAATATACAATTATTTACTATTTTGTATTATTAATTTCAGAAGAATTTTCAAACTCGTCGAATAATCTCAGAAAATCAGAAGCAAAATTTTGGCGACTTTCTAATTAGATATATTCGAATGACTGTTAGGAAAAAAGCAAAACATCAAGTGCAAGATAATCAACTGTACAATTATTCTACCTAATAAAACGGCACTGTTGAGTGTGGTTTACTTTTGTTGAAAATACATGGTTTGACTCAAAAAAGGAGGCACATAAAACAACCTTATCCAGAAGCAATTGCGAATAAAAGAACGTTTTTCTATTGCAAGGAGAGTCTTTAAAAAGTCGAAACTAGTGACAAAGTTTGCAGAAAACTAAATCAGCGCTTTAATGAAAAGATGCGTTCAAAGAATATAACAATGGTAACTTTATATTTCAGACAATTAGTTGCAAACCAATTCGAACAAATATATTTGCAGTCTTAGTTACTGATTATTTTTGTAAAAAATATGAATGAACAAAAATATATAGTATACACTGTTTTCCATTATACAATGATTACTTACTTCATCAATATACAATTATTGACTATTTTGTAGTATTAATTTCAGGAGAATTTTCAATTTCGTCGAATAATCTTACTTAATCAGAAGCAAAAATGTGTGCGACTTTTTAAACAAATATAATAAAATGACTGTTAGGTAAAAAGCAAAACATCAAGATGAAGCTAATCAACTGTACAGTTATTCTACCTTATATAACGGCACTGTTGAGTGTGGTTTAATTTTGTTGAAAATATTGACTCAAAAAAGGTAGGCACTTAAAACAATCTTATCTATAAACAATTGCGAATAAAAGAACGTTTTTATATTACAAGGAGAGTCTCAAAAGATTCGACAAAGTTTTTAGAAAACAAATCAGCGCTTTTATGAAAAGATGCTTGCAATGAATGTAACAATGGTAACTTCATATTTCAGACAATTAGTTGTAAACCCATTCGAACACATATATCTGCATTCTTAGTTAGTGAATATTTTTGTAAAAAATATGAAAGAACAAAAATATATAGTATACACTGTTTTCCATTATACATTGATTACTTACTTCATCATTATGCAATTATTGACTATTTTGTATTAATTATTTCCATGAACATAGCAATGGTAACAGTGCCGTTATATTAGGTAAAATAACAATACAGTTGATTAGCACGATCTTGATGTTTTGCTTAATTCTAACAGTCATTCGAATATATCTGTTTAAAAAGTTGCAGAAATGTTTGCTGCTAATTTTGTCAGATTATTCGACGAGTTTGAAAATTCTCCTGAAATAAATAATGAAAAAAAGTCGCAAATTGTATATTGACGAAGTAAGTAATCAATGTATGATGGAAAACAGTGTATACTGTACATTTTTGTTCATTCATATTTTTTACAAAAATAATCAGTAACTAAGAATGAAGATATATGTGTTCGAATGGGTTTACAACTAATTGTCTGAAATATGAAGTTACCATTGTTATGTTCAGTGAAAGCATCTTTTCATAAAAGCACTGATTTATTTTTCTGCAAATTTTGTCACTAGTTTCGACTTTTTAAAGACTCTCCTTGCAATACAAGAACGTTCTTTTATTCGCAATTGCTTATGGATAAGATTGTTTTACGTGCCTAACTTTTTTGGAGTCAATATTTTCAACAAAATAAAACCACACTCAACAGTGCCTTTATATTAGGTAGAATAATTGTACAGTTGATTAGCTTGATCTTAATGTTTTGCTTTTTTTTCTAACATTCATTCGAATATACCTGTTTAAAGAGTCGCCAACAGTGTTGCATCTGATTTTGTGAGATTATTCGACGAGGTTGAAAATTCTCCTGAAAATAATAATACAAAATAGTCAATAACTGTATATTGATGAAGTAAGTAATCAATGTATAATGGAAAACAGTGTATACTATATATTTTTGTTCATTCATATTTTTTACAAAAAAATCAGCAAAAAGGAATGCAGATATTTGTTTTCGAAAGGGTTTACAACTAATTGTATGAAATATGAAGTTACCATTGTGATGTTCTTTGACAGCATCTTTTCATATAAGCGCTGGTTTATTTTTCTGCAAACTTTGTCACTAGTTTCGACTTTTTAAAGACTCTCCTTGAAATAGAAAAACGTTCTTTCATTCGCAATTGCTTATGGATAAGACAAATATTTTCAACAAAATTATACCACACTCAACAGTGCCGTTATATTAGGTAGAATAATTGTACAGTTGATTAGCTTTATATTGATGTTTTGCTTTTGTCTTGACAGTCATTCGAATATCCCTGTTTGAAAAGTCGCCGAAATTTTTGCTTCTGATTTTGTGAGATTCTTCGAAGAGTTTGAAAATTCTCCTGAAATAATTAATACAAAATTGTCAATAATTGTTTATTGACGAAGTAATTAATCAATGTATAATGGAAAACAGTGTATACTATATATTTGTGTTCATTCATGTTTTTTACAAATATATCCAGTAACTAAGAATGCAGATATATGTGTTCTTATGCGTTTACAACTAATTGTATAAAATATGAAGCTACCATTGTTATGTTTATTTAAAGCATCATTTCATAAAAGCGCAGATTTATTTTCCTGCAAACTTTGTCACTAATTTTGACTTTTTAGAGACTGTCTTTGCAATAGAAAAACGTTCTTTGATTCGCAATTGCTTATGGATAAGATTGTTTTACGTGACTTTTTTTTAGTCAATATTTTCAACAAAATTAAACAACACTCAACAGTGCCGTTATATTAGGTAAAATAATTGTACAGTTGATTAGCTTTATATTGATGTTTTGCTTTTTTCTTGAAAGTCATTCGAATATCCCTGAAATTTTTGCTTCTGATTTTGTGAGATTCTTCGAAGAGTTTGAAAATTCTCCTGAAATAATTAATACAAAATAGTCAATAATTGTATATTGACGAAGTAACTAATCAATGTATAATAGAAAACAGTGTATACTATATATGTTTGTCCTTTAATATTTTTTACAAAAATATCAGGTAACTAAGAAAGCAGATATTTGTGTTCGAATGGGTTTATAACTCATTTTCTGATATATGAAGTTACTATTGTTATGTTCATTGAAAGCATATTTCATAATAGCACTGATTTTTTTTTCAGCAAACTTTGTCACTAATTTCGACTATTTAAAGACTCTCCTTGCAATACAAAAACGTTCTTATATTCGCAATTGCTTATGGATAAAATTGTTTTACGTGCCTGACTTTTTTAAGTCAATATTTTCAACAAAGTCATAACACACTCAACAGTGCCGTTATATTAGGTAGAATAATTATGCAGTTGACTAGCTTGTTCTTGATATTTTATGCTTTTGTCCTAACAGTCATTCGAACATACCTGTTTAAAAAGTCGCCGAAATTTGTGCTTCTGATTTTCTGGGATTATTCGAAGAGTTTGAAAATTCTCCTGAAATAATTAATACAAAATAGTCAATAATTGTATATTGACGAAGTAAGTAATCAATGTATAATGGAAAACAGTGTATACTGTATATTTTTGTTCATTCATATGTTTTTACAAAATAATCATTAACTAAGAATGCAGATATATGTGTTTCAGTGGGTTTTCAACTAATTGTCTGAAATATAAAGTAACCATTGCTATGTTCATTGAAACGTCTTTTTATAAAAGCGCTGACTTATTTTTCTGCAAATTTTGTCACTTATTTCGACTTTTTAAAAACTCTCCTTGCAATAGAAAAACGTTCTTTTATTTGCAATTGCTTATTGATAAGATTGTATTACCTGCTTACTTTTTTTTTGAGTCAATTTTTTTACAAAACTTACACAACAGCGCCGTTATATTAGGTAGAATAATTGTATAGTTGATTGGCTTAATCTTGATGTTGTTTTATTTTTCTAACAGTCATTCGAATATACCTGTTTAAAAGGTCGCGGAAATTTCTGCTTCTGATTTTCTGAGATTATTCGAAAATTTAGAAAATTCTCCTGAAATAATTAATACAAAATAGTCATAAATTGTATATTGATGAAGTAAGTAATCAATGTATAATAGAAAACAGTGTATACTATATATTTTTGTCCTTTCATATTTTTTACAAAAATATTCAGTAACTAAGAAAGCAGATATATGTGTTCGAATGGGTTTATAACTCATTTTCTGATATATGAAGTTACTATTTTTATGTTCATTGAAAGCATATTTCATAATAACACTGATTTATTTTTCAGCAAACTTTGTCACTAATTTCGACTTTTTAAAGACTCTCCTTGCAATACAAAAACGTTCTTATATTCGCAATTGCTTATGGATAAAATTGTTTTACGTGCCTGACTTTTTTAAGTCAATATTTTCAAAAAAATTATAACACACTCAACAGTGCCGTTATATTAGGTAGAATAATTATGCAGTTGATTAGCTTCTTCTTGATATTTTATGCTTTTGTCCTAACAGTCATTCGAATATACCTGTTTAAAAAATCGCCGAAATGTTTGCTACTGATTTTCGGAGATTATTCGACGAGTTTGAAAATTCTCCTGAAATTAATAATATAAAATAATCAATAATTGTATATTAATGAAGTAACTAATCAATGTATAATGGAAAACAATGTAAGCTATATATTTTTTTTCATTCATATTTTTGACAAAATTATTCACTAACTAAGAAGGAATATATGTGTTCGAATGGGTTAACAACTAATTGTCTGAAATATGAAGTTACCATTGTTATGTTCATTCAAAGCATCTTTTCATAAAAGAGCTGATTTATTTTTCTGCAAACTTTGTCACTAATTTCGACTTTTTGGAGACTCTCCTTGCAATAGAAAAACGTTCTGTTATTCTCAATTGCTTATGGATAAGAATGTTTTACGTGCCTTCTTTTTTTGAGTCAATATTGTCAACAAAATTATACCACACTCAACAGTGCCGTTATATTAGGTAGAATAATTGTACAGTTGATTAGCTTGATCTTAATGTTTTGCTTTTATCTAACAGTCCTTCGAATATACCTGTTTAAAAATTCGCCGAAATTTGTGCTTCTGATTTTGTGAGATTATACTAAGAGTTTGAAAATTCTCCTGAAATAATTAATACAAAATAGTCAATAATTGTATATTGACGAAGTAAGTAATCAATGTATAATAGAAAACAGTGTATACTGTATATTTTTGTTCATTCATATGTTTTTACAAAATACTCATTAACTAAGAATGCAGATATATGTGTTCCAGTGGGTTTTCAACTAATTGTCTGAAATATAAAGTAACCATTGCTATGTTCATTGAAAGCATCTTTTCATAAAAGCGCTGATTTATTTTTCTCCAAACTTTGTCACTAGTTGCGACTTTTTAAAGACTCTCCTTGCAATACAAAAACGATCTTTTATTCGCAATTGCTTATGGATAAGATTATTTTACGTGCCTACTTTTTTTGAGTCAATATTTTAAACAAAATAAAACCACACTCAACAGTCCCGTTATATTAGATAGAATAATTGTATATTTGATTAGCTTGTTCTTGATGTTTTGTTTTTTTTTTCTAACTGGCATTTGAATATCCCTGTTTAAAAATCGACGAAATTTTTGCTTCTTATTTTCGGAGATTATTCGAAAAGTTGGAAAATCCTCCTGAAATAATTAATACAAAATAGTTGTATATTGATGAAGTAAGTAATCAATGTATAATGGAAACCAGTGTATACTATATATTTTTGTTCATTCATATTCTTTTCAAAAATAATCATTAAAATAGAAATGCAGAAATATGTTTTCGAATGGATTTACAACTAATTGTCTGAAATATGAAGTTACAATTGTTATGTTCATTTAAGGCATCTTTTCTTAATAGCACTGATTTTTTTGTCTGCAAACGTTGTCACTAGTTTCGACTTTTTAAAGACTCCTTGCAATAGAAAAACGTTCTTTTATTCTCAATAGCTTATGGATAAAATTGTTTTACGTGCCTACTTTTTTAAGTCAATATTTTTAACAAAATTAAACCACATTTAACAGCTCAGTTGTATAAGTTAGAATAATTGTACAGTTGATTAGCTTGATCTTGATGTTTTGCTTTTTTCTTAACAGTCATTCGAATATCCCTGTTTAAAAAGTCGCCGTAATTTTTGCTTCTGATTTTCTGAGATTATTCCAAGAGTTGGAAAATTCCCCTGAAATAATTATACAAAATTGTCAATAATTGTATATTGATGAAGTAAGTAATCAATTAATAATGGAAAACAGTGTATACTTTATATTTTTGTTCATTCATATAATTACAAAAATAATCAGTAACTAAGAATGCAGATATATGTGTTCGAATGGGTTTACAACTAATTGTCTAATATATGAAAGTACCATTGTTATGTTTATTCAAAGCATCTTTTCATAAAAGCGCTGATTGATTTTTCTGCAAACTTTGTCACTAATTTCGACTTTTTAGAGACTCTCCTTGCAATAGAAAAACGTTCTTTTATTCTCAATTGCTTATGGATAAGAATGTTTCACGTGCCTTTCTTTTTTTGAGTCAATATTTTCAACAAAATTAAACAACACTCAACATTTGTACAGTTGATTAGCTTGATATTGATGTTTTTTTTCTATTAGTCATTTGAATATACCTTTTTAAAAAGTCGCATAATGTATTGCTTCTAATTTTGTGACTGATGACTATTTCAAAAAACAACGGCAGACATTATCTGTTAACCCGCCTCTGTTTTTTACCTGTTGATAAATTACATCAAATGTTGGAGGATTGCAACACAACTCCATATTGCAGTCCTAAGTATTAAATCGTCCAAATTAAAATCGCATATTGTTATTCTAAACTGATTCCCAAAATTGATCACCTTAAAGATCATAAACAAATGTTATTTAAATCAAATATGTCAATAAAGGTTTTGATTTTGTACATATTGCCGGTATTTTGATTGATTATTCTCTTAAATAAACAAATTCCTGGCTATTTTGATAATACTGAACTCCCTCTTATTTCTTACGTTAAAAAAAAATACCCGGAAATATGTGTTTAATTATAGCGAAATGTGTAAAGATGTTAATATCAGTGACAATACATTTACGTCATGAAATTGCAGTAATTCCGTATACATTTATGGCCCCAGTTCCCATGCTATAACAGGAGACCTTAACATCGTTCATGACCGAGAGTTGAAATCATTCCTCAGTAAAGGACCTAAATATCGTCCCCTGTCAATTATCAATTGGAATGAGTGTTGTAACATCATCCACGACTCACTCCGTACTCGAAATGAAGAAAACGAGAAAAAGCTGACAAAAAATCCTTAGATTGTTTTTTAATTCAGTAATTAACATAGTTGATATTCGTATTAAACATTTTAAAGAACATTTTACTCCTAACAACAACCATAATAGCCCTATTTCTGTATCAAACAGAAGCTAAAAGAACGCGCCAAGGAATTTGTTTTTGTTCCGGCTGATAAGGCTGCTAATAATATCATTATTGTTTGACGTAAATTTTACATTGAGTTTCTGCAAAAGGAAATCACAAATTCACCAACATTCAAACTGATTACATTTTCGGAAAATGACATTTGTAACAAACATAAACTTTTGGATAGCTCTTTACAAGCAGAACAAAATACAATGAAAGTTTCAACTATGTACTGGCTTCCGAAGCTGCACAAAACGCCTTACAAATATAGATTTATTTCGTCTTCAAGCCATTGTTCCACTACTAAACTGTGTATTCTTCTTACTAGTACACTTGGTACAATCAAAAACCTGGTAATAAATTGTTCAAATAAGGTCTTTGAAAATAGTGGAATTAATTACTTTTGGAATGTTAAAAATTCGTTGGAAGTAGATGATAAATTGCATGCTTATATTGGTGATTTCGAATATGTTCAAAGTTTAGATTTTTTCTACCCTATATACCACTTTGCGTCATAATCTTATAAAGAAAAAAATCTCGCACCTAATTAAATGGGCATTTAAAAAGTCAGAATGCAAATATATATTTTCTAACTCTTTTAGGTAATTTTTTAGTAACAACAGACAAAAGAACTATGTCAATTGGACCTGCTTTGATACGATAATTGCCCTTGAATTTTTACTAGATAACATTTTTGTTCGCTATTGAGATTCCTCATATCGTCAAGTTATCGAAATTTCAATGGGGACTTACTGTGCATCACTTATTACGGACCTGTTTCTGTATTGTTATGAGTTACAATGTATGACTAAAATCAGCAAAGACCCATCGAAACAACATCTGGTACAAACAATTTGATAACACTTTTAGATATTTGGATGATATATTGGCGTTCAATAATGACGATTTCAGTGTGTACTCTAAAGAGATTTATCCTGTTGAACTGTCTTTAAATAAATCTTATACTAACAATGAACACTGCCCTTTCCTGGATCTTGATATCTATATCTTTAACGGGAATCTTAATACCAACATTTATGATAAAAGAGATAACATTTCACTTCCTATTGTTAATAATCCATTTTTAGATGGTGACGTTCCCTTTGCACTATATTATGGTGTTTATATATCTCAACGTGTTCGATTTGCTCGTGTATGTAACAGCGTATTTGATTTTAACGAAAGAAATCTCTGTATTACTGAAAAATTATTACACCAGGGTTTTCGATATCACAAACTAGTCAAAACATTTACTAAATTGTATCATCGGTACAAGGACATCATTCGTAAATATTAATCAACATGCAGACATCTTATACGTTCAGGTATTTCACATCCAATCTTTTATGGTAATATTCTATACAAAGCACAAAAAATGTCGACATTCACCTCAAAAGCTAACCAAACCTTTAAACAGACTTATTCAGAAGGGATATAGTTACGGTACTGTTGTCAGGTCATTAAAGATGGCAAATGTTGATATTAATATTGATTCACTCATAGGGTCTTTGCTACGGAATATATTTTATGATGGTATGATACTAAACCCCTAACGGGAGGGATTGTGCTTGGTGTTCATATGATGAAGAGATAATCTTTAAATCAGTTTAATTGAGGTCTGGAGGTGGCATTTCAGTAACTGCTAGTAGTCCTTTGTTAATTTATGTATCATTGTGATTTCGCTTAGTTTCTTTTGTTACCTATTCTGACATCAGACTCGGACTTCTTTTAAACTGAGTTTTACTGTGCGTATTGCTGTGTGTTTGTTTATTCTACATTGGCTAAAGGTATAGGGGGAGGGTTGAGATCTCACAAAACTAGTTTAACCCCGCCGCATTTTTGCGCCTGTCCCAAGTCAGGAGACTCTGGCCTTTGTTAGTCTTGCATGTTTTTTAATTTTAGTTCATTTATATGTTTTGGAGTTTAGTGTGACGTCCATTTTCATTGAACTAGTACACATTTTTTGTTTAGGGATCAGCGGGAGCCCGCCTCCGGGTGCGGGATTTTCTCGTTATGTTGAAGACCTATTGGTGGCTTCGACTGTTTTTTGCTGTTTGGTCGGGTTGTTGTCTCATTGACACATTCCTCATTTCCATTCTCAATTTTATACTATATATTTTTGTTCATTCAGATTTTTTACAAAAAGAAGCAGTAACTAAGAATGCATATATATATGTTCGAATGGGTTTACAACTAATTGTCTGAAATATGAAGTTGCCATTGTTATGTTCATTGAAAGCATCTTTCTATAAAAGTCGTTGAAATTTTTGCTTCTGATTTTGTGAAATTATAAGACGAGTTTGAAAATTTCTCCTGAAATTAATAATAAAAAATAGACTAGACACAGTTCACCACAACAATCAACAAATACAAAGATACACATCAGTACACTTTAGTTTAAAGTATATCAAGGGGTCACACATGCAGATATTCTAAACGAACTGGAACAATATATAAAAAGAGAAAAAATTAAAGCTATATAACTGAAAGAGAATGTGTAGTAACTGTTGATGATCAGGCATCGAAAATACTATTACTTATAAAGGCCATCGAACTTAAAAACTATCATTACAAATTTGTAGATATTGAAACAGTGGTGACAAATGTTACGATTTAGGATGCACCTGTCGAATTGGGTGATCTTGCTGTTTGTTCCTTTATGAGACAATACGCCGAGGTAGTCCAAGGCTCACTTAAAAGGGGGACTATCAGAAGTACTAACATTGAAACCGGTACGAGGTATATTCGGCTTATAAATTGCGTTCCAATCATCCCCAGTATCACCAAACTCGGACGATTTGATATCCGACTTTTCGCTGATAACAATAGAACCCAATGCCGACACTGTAGCAGCAGAACAATAACCCTTCCTACCGTTGCGATATGAAACCACAAAGACAAGAACGACATCGATACTGTTTTCGATGCAGTAGCCATGAGCATATTATACTAAACTGTCCGCACACAGATAATGGATGTTTCAAATGTGGTCAAAAAGGTCATATCAAAAGAGACTGTAATAAAAATTGACAAAACGTCGGAAAAGACGATCAAAATGATCAGATTACAGACGAGAACGAATACGGGAACTATATTCACGAAATTAGGGAGGAATCAGAACCTACGGGACAAGATCAGATCGAAGATTTCAATGTGTCTGATGCAAAGACACCACTCAACAACACTCAGATAAAATACTATCTGTTCCTGAAAACGAAAAAAAAATGGTTTACCGTTACCCCCTACTACTATCATTTTAGGTGCATCAAACTGTTGACGTCTCAAGATATCTGACCGCAGAATATATAATGCATCTGTTTCTGGTAGTACGGCAGAAGACATTGACAAGCTTTTAGTCACATTGGACAAAAAAATTATGTGTTAAAGGTCATTTTTTGTTTTGGGTAAAAACGACGTCACAAAAAACGATACAGATAAAGAAATCATTTGTATTAATATGACAAATGCTTCAAATAAAGTAAAAGCACAATTCCCAAATGCGGATATAAGCTTATTCAGCATACTTCCAAGAAAGGACAAATGTAATCTGATATCTCATTCTGCAAATTTGTATATGGAAAAGGCATGCTCAAAAGATCAAAGACTATCTTTTGTCGATCTTTGGGGTAATTTCTGTCGACCAGGCATGGGTTGCAGCCCCGACAAATCAATGTTTGACAACAATGACCCATCCGGAGTCATATTAATTCTGAAGGGGCAAAACAAATAGTTTCTCATATCAAAAACTTTATGAGCATAGACAGATTAGGCAAATACGAAATACCCAGTTGAAAAAAATAAAACTCGAAGTTCAGCTTCTACACCACGATCAGCTGAGAAACAACTAACAGAGAGACAAAACTCTTCTTTGGAAGAAACAGTTACTAAATAGATTCTTCAAGCACAATCTTTTTTAAACGAGACAAAGAAGAACTAGGTGTAAATATATGTATATATATATATATATATATATATATATATTAATATCAACTTTTTTTATCATATATATGGAAAACTTTTAAAGAAAATCACTGCTATCTTGCATATGTGCATGCAAAAACATGCATTTAAGGTTTTAGAAATATACGAGAAAGCATCGGGAGTCAAAATAAATAATGAAAAAACTGAAGGGGTAAAGTTGGGTCATTGGAAAAATAAAACACCAAAATATAAAAAAATAAGGTGGTCAAAATAACCAATTAAAGCATTGGGAGTTATGCATGAATACAGTGTTAATATAGAAGCTATATGGTTAGAAAAAATAAAGAAAATTAATGCGTGTCTTGAGGTTTAGAAATCTCGTGACCTAACATTCAAGGGCTTAATATTAAAATCATTGATTATATCCGAAATGCGAGGAATACCTGAAAAATAAAAAAAAAATAACAAACATCATGTGGAATTTTATATGGGAGGGAAAATTAAATTTAATCAAGAAAAAATGGCGGGTTGATCCTGGTTTTATGGCTATCGAAACCTTCCGTTTATATGGCAATGTTATAAATACCGCTAAAATGACAACATTACGTAACATGAATACAGAACAAATAAATGCAAGAACATCCAGGACAGAGAAAAACATAAATACATAATATAATAGTACATTAAAACATGTACACCACAGAATAACATCAGACACCTCCCATGCATTTATGATTGTACACCAGGACACCACAAACGAATTATAAAATGTGCGTGACACGAATGTTTGAACGACATAAAGAGTGACGTATTTTTTGTGACGTTTACATTATCACAGGTAAATTTCTAAGAATTGAATAGATTTGTTTTATTGTAGACACGTACAAGAATATAAAATTGGGATTGAGTTTGAAATGGTGTTATTATTTGTATTTTCTAACCATTTTGGTTTTTCTTCTAAATCAAAACTGTGAATAAACAAAAAAAAAAACCTGTGCATATAGTTGCTATAAACTAAAAATCATATTAATGAAATACCTGATTAATTATCTTAACTTTTACATACATATAGAAAATTGAAAAAAATAACTGTAATAATAGGCAAGATCATGTCAGACCAAACAGTAAACACACTAGGAAACAAACAATATAAAATAAAAACACTGTACACTAACCACGAGTAACTCGACTATACTGACAAATAAGACATATGTGAAATGTACCGAAAATACAGAATGCAAACAACAGACGATAAGACCTTTCACAATATCAGACCAGACTTACAAAAGAAACATCATAACTAAATACATGAATGTTGGATGTATAAATACCGAGACACGTCGTATAGCAATACAAATTCTCACTCGACAAAACGGTCATATTCGGATATAGGTCACGTTCAAAAAAATTTCGTGAGTTAGTTATGGTTTATTTTTAGTTCTAATCAATAAATCGATTATTAAACCAAACCATATGAGTGCAATTCGTTTATTTAAAACAGAATGGAGAATGTGACGAATGTAGTTGATGCTGTAAAGCTGTATTATTAAAAGAATTCAAATTCACTGAAAGACTCTCCTATAAAAACTCAAACGAAGGTAAAAGATTTAAAAATTCACAAGGATTACCAAATGACAGATAACCTACAATTACAATAACTGTCAAAATAAAAGCAAACTTTGGTTTTCCAACATTTGTATACATTATTAAATCAATCAACTAGGTTTCATACTAATTTTGTAAGTTTGTTTCCGTGCCTGTTCACGTCAAGACTTTAAAGTCTAAAATCCATCAAGCACGGGTCGTTTGTGAGTAAATGCAAATACTGGTCGACTTGGCAAACGTCCAGCTAAGTACGTCGACGTTTTAAACAAAGCAGGGTTGATATTCATATCACATTTACATGTTTTCGTCCTGTATATGCGTTGTATATGCCTCTGGACGGTAAATATTATAAATATGAATTACAGATTACAATATCATTATAAAAACATTTAATTTTCAAATCAGTCAGTGATAATAAAACATAACAGCAAAATTAAAAATATTAAAAGCAACATATTTAATTTGAAAATGTTTGGATCCAGCAAACTCAAGTTCTATCACGGAATCGACATTTAAATATATTTTCAAATTAATCAAGGCATTTACCTTTGAACGGCAAAGATGAAAATCATCCAAACCAATCTAGTTTTAATTGAAAGGTTTTCAGTGAAAATCTGGTAAGATAGGAAATTAGCCATAAATATGATAAAGGGGTGTATTATATTTTGTTATCTATATCGGAATAGAGATTGGAATATTGATATCTTCACCTGGTTATTATAAGTGACCAAAGGAATGTTCTCGACATGGTGATTCACTTTATATGTTTTGGGCGTTGTCTCCTTTTTTATCATTTTTAATCCAAAATATAACATATAAGGCAAAACAATTTCTGAAGTCATCTCTTTGATTGTCCATTAAATTGTCGGGAACATATGAGGCGAGTGATACGAAAAAAGTTAAAGAAAAAAATATTTACCATTAAGACAAAAAGAGATTTACAAAAAGTTACAAAAATACTATAAATATTGGTAACATGAATCACACTAAAATAGTGGGGTGACCTCAGGTGACCAGGACGGATCCGCAGTTTTGATCTACCAGTGAAACCTGCAATTTTGTTCAAGTTGTATACCTTGATGGTTAACACATGGGATATCACATCCTTATTGTCCGGGTAATCTAGTTTATAGGAATCTTTAATTTACATACCATCCATATTAACAGTATAACCATTGAATATGCGTATTCTCAAAGCTTATCTATTGAACACTGAAGCAAGATATTTGACTATTCTATTTATATATGTTACAACTTGCATTCAGTTTTTGCATCGGTGCTTTGTTTTTTTTTTTTTTTTTTTTCTTTTTCTTTTTCTTTTTTGTTAGTAGATTTTTGTGATTGATGCCTATTTTAAATCAAACCATTTCCAAATGATTTTTGCAGATTGTTCATATGGTGTCCTGTTACATAACTGTTGAAGGTCATGGGTGTTACACTCGCGAACATGTTTAATCCTACTGCATATTGTATGTGTCTTTCCCAAGAAGGATTCTGTAATTCAATGGAATTGTAATCGTTTGTTGCAGTCTTATATATTTGTATTTAGTTTATTGTTTGATCGTCTATCAAGTTAAGTTTTTTTTTTTATTGAGAGCTCCCCGTTTCTTGACGGAATCATTGTTTCGCAGTCTTTCGTTTTCTCTGTTAATGTTTTGTGTACTGTTTTTAGTCTTGTAGTTGCCTGTGGTATCTTTGGCCTTTCTTTTACTATGCGGTTTGGGTGTTGCCCATTGTTCAAGGATTAACGATGACCTATAGTTGTTTGCTTCCACTTCATTTGCTCTATGTTGGATAGTGTGTCTCATTGGCAATTATACCATATCACATAATAACAGATTGCTTACCGTCTCTTATCTTAATCAAAAGATTATTTGTTGTATAAATTATCCGTCCCTTATGATGGCAGAATGTGAAAAATTGAAAAGAAAACGCGATTTTCAAAGACAATGAATGACAAGAAGAAAGAAAAAAATACATTCTGAAATAAAATATCATTTAACCCATTAATTACCTAACAAAAACGCAACATCGTCCCCGATCGGCTTAACATAATATTTTGTGTTTAAGCTTTGCTTACAAGGATCTGACACAATCCGTTTTATTTCTGTCCTGGTACTTATTACATCAGCCAATGAAATGTCAGCCATCCTTATTTCGAAAGTGTGTAAGAAGTAAAATAGCAAAAATACCGAACTCCAATGAAAATTCAAAACAGAAAGTCCTTTATCAAATGGCAACATCAAAAGCTCAAACACATCAATAACAATCCGGAAAAAAAGCAAACGACACCGAAAGGTATTTAAACTGAAAGTAGAATGGAGCGCTTTCAGATCATAGTCAGAAAATATCGGACACACCGAGTCTGTATATTAATCAGATTGCATGAACTCGTTTCAAACACAATGAAAGGTGAATTCAGGAAAACGGAAGGATAAACAGTTCATTGTTCTTTTCTTTTAATCTGTTGTGTTTGTAGTTAGGTTATTATAATCGATAATAAGTTGCAAGTGTACTGATTTCATGAGATGTAATGAAGGATAAAAGAACATGATGCAACTTTTTATTTTTATCTTATTATTCGCTAACTGTTTCATGACATTTGAGTTTGCTTTTTAAAAAGCGTCTATGAAATAGTGTCAAAAATAAGACATATCCTCCGTAGTATTAATCTAGTTAAAGAATTGTAAATATATCGCACTTTTATATTCTACAATGTTCAGCCGTCATTAATGTGTTTTAAATAAGATATGCATGGCACTATGTAACGTCTCCAAAGGCATGTAAAGTGTTTTGATTATATTCCCTTTCTAAATAACTTTACATTTTTACGGGCGGTGGAGCTTTTTCTTCGTAAGTGACCTAAAAGCGATTTCGGTGTTTTAAGGTTTCTTCCACAACCACACATAACACCTTCCACAGGAAAATTAGCGGGTAACCACTTTGTGAACGAAACTGTATTTGTTGTAGCGAACCGTCCTCTTTTCCTAGCTCTTTTCTTCTTTTTCATAAAAGTAGCCTTTAGTATGTCGATAGCCTCCTTCCATACTACAATTAAAGTTTTTTGTGCATTGATACATCAATAAGTTGAATGGAATTTCTTTTTTATTCTTTTTTTTAAATTTAGTTTATATTGTGTTATTTTCTAAATATAATTAAATGTATAAGCCGCAGTACTTGTTCACCAAAAGTATATTTTGTTGTTTTCCCTATTCTGTATAATAAGCAGAAAATGTACAACTATGTGGCTAGAAACAGGTAAGAGATATTATTTTTTTTTCAGAAATATGATACAAAGATGATGAATGTTTAAAATAAAAAACAGAAACATGGAATCACTGGATTCTTTTTATTGCTGCATAGAAAAACATCATCGTTTACGAAAATTAACTAGTTGTATCCACAGTCACGTCTTAAAAAAATAATTGATTTTCCCTATTCTATGAAAGTGATCTGACCAACTTTGTTCATAATAAGAAAAAAGATATTTAATAAGGTGAAAAAAAATTTATGGACAATTTCTTTAGAACAAAATAAATGCAAGCAACCCTTCTCCTATATATTCAAACAACCCTTTTTCATTATCCCTCCGTGCCGCTAACTAAGTAAACTTCTTTGAAACTTTGCGTTTTTGGTGAAAGTTGAAAGAAGGCAGACAATGCTACGTAAAGGGCGGAAATGCGAATGCTTGTATTCATTTGGCGTAGAACGTTGTGTTAATGTTCATGAACGCTAATTGTTCATTGGTGATCGTTTTAAACAAGTATTGATATTTCCTAACGTGTTTTTTTTTATTATAACTCATCATCCTGCTCTGTGACTAACGTAGCATAGAGGGCCTACTTCGATTCGTCTAATTCAGGTTGATTAAGTTATAAAATCAGTGCTAATGCGCATGTGTGCAACTTTCCTAATCGAACTAAAAACTATATTATCCAGTTGACTTTCACGATGGACGATGTGGATAAAGAAGCGGTTATTAAATTTCTTCTGATGACGACAACAATAAACAACTTTATCTTTAAATTAGTAACACAATTAACTAACTTATGTTGTTATATTTTAGCTACAATGCTACCAAGACAACAAGTTCCAGGAATAAATTATTTTGCAGAAGATACGGAATTGAAATTTTCACCAACGTTTTTTTTTTTTTTTTTATTTTTGAGGGGGGGGGGGGGCAAAGTCTGGAAATCAATAATCTTGCTAAACGTCATAAAACTGTAGATATTCCAAACAAAAATTATGCAAGACGATACTGTACGGTTAAGAGAATATGAAGACTAATAAACCAAGTGTGAAAACATCCTAGCTGTTAAACAATCTCCGAGTATACAAGTGTATCGGACATACAGGCAGATGGACGGACAGGTAGACGGATGGGAACGATTATCATAATCCCTGCGTAGTAGCATACACCTCCATGTTTGTGTACTATCGGAAGTTCTAGAAAAGCCTCCATATATAGTGATATTGATCATTAAAAGGAATTGATTTTCGTAATAATTTTACATTTACCTCTTAGTTACTAAATTTGCAGAAATTAGAGTCTATCTGTTCTATTGAGGAATATCACCGATAGTTTTTACGCATGACAAATATTTGTTAATACTAAAATGCAGCAAAAAGAAATATCCCTTTATCAGATCTCTTTCTTAAGCTGAATTTTGTAAAATGCCTGTTATTTTTGGTATGTTCGTCTTTGCTATTATTGTTTGTAGATATGTTGTAACTCTTCTTAATCTACTTAACTCAGGATTGATTCCCAGTTAACTTGGGTAGGTCCAAAAGGCCAAACAAGTGAGATTCGACTGCAATTCGAGTGAAGTCGACACACAATCGAAGTAGGCTAGTCATATACTGTACAGTAAATATACAGCCTCGCCATATTTGCCTAGTAAAATACGATTTTTCTGTGCTATAACAATATAGTGTGTGTTATATTTAAAAAATTTTACACCTTACCTGGTTTATTCAAAAACTCTTGATGGATGAATGTTGAACAAGAGCACAAAATGTAATACTTATAGAATAATAATCTGCTTACATTTTCAAGCTTAAACTGATAAAATCATTTCAGTATAATCATTTACGTATTTTCAACAAGGAATAGACATTAACAATGTATATGATTCAATTTCTTTAAATTTGACAAAAAATATACCTCCTTGTTCCGGACTATATACCACATCTGCTACTGCGAGCTAAAACAAAATGATGAACAAATAGTTATAATTCAAGCATTGATGTTTTTCAATAATATGATTTTTAACAAAACACTAGGTTTATTCCACACTTTTCCATTATTTCGTTAATATCTGTACTTGTCAGGGTCTCACTGTGGAATACTAGCTATATATTTAGTCAATTGTAACTAATATGTAAGCGTAAAAGCAATTGTCTCGAACATTTTTTTTTTAAATGCATAGTATTTACAGTAATTTTTTTCTCTAAATAAAAAAACAAAATCGGGATAAACAGACGGACAGAGAGACAGACAGGCAGAATTAAAAGAAAAGACGAAAAGATGGAAATAAAGACTACTTGACTGACAGATTGAAATACAGTGCACTTGTTGAGGGAATGTGGTCGTAGTAAAAAAGTTAAAAAAAAAGTTTATGACCGAAAAGAGATATTCGAGCTAAATACAGTAAAAAAAAATTCAAAGTCGAACTTATGTATCTGTGCCAACATGACTTTGCTCATAAGTCGTTGGCAAAATTGATAGCACTTTTACCTTATGCGTTTCGATTTTAAGCCGGAAGTGTTCGTTTTTAACATTTCGGTGTATTTTTTGTCTGTTTGACTTTTTATTTTGATCATCGTGTTATCTTAGTTTCCTCGATTCATGGTTTGTATCCTTTAAAAAAAATTCAGTTATGAAAAAAATTTGCAATTTTCCTCATGTTTTGGATAAAATTTAAGATTATGGATTCTTTTAAATCTTATATTTTGGAAAAAAACATACTTCAAAGCAGTTTTGGCATCCAATTTATGTACGCGACTTTTATGGGTAACACAATGAAGCATAAATAACAAACCTATTGTTCTTTAATATGAGAATAAAGTAGGAAAATCGCATACAAAATCGTCGCAAGGTCAGCAAAAATGGACAACACACAACGATAAAAGCAAAAGGCGAAATTAGTTATAAAAAAAACATCCTCAAAGATGCCAGGATTATAATTGTGTACGCTAGACGCGCTAAATCAGCCATAATTCTGACATCTTAAAATATAAATGTGTCCGTCCTTGATCTTTGAACTTGATTTCACGGAAATCACACCGTACAAATTTGTTTACGACTGGGCAAAAAAGTAAGTACAGAATGTTATATAATATATCCGTGATAAATAATATAGACGTGTGTTAGGTAGATGCATTAAAAGTTCAATTTTTTATGAAAGAGGGACGAAAGATACCAGAGGGACAGTCAAACTCATAGATCGAAAACAAACTGACAACGCCATGGCCAAAAATAAAAAGACAAACAGACAAATACTAGTACAGATGACACAACATAGAAAACTAAAGACTAAGCTACACCAACCCCACCAAAAACTGGGGGTGATCTCAGGTGCTCCGGAAGGGTAAGCAGATCTTGCTCCACATGTGGCACCCGTCGTGTTGCTTATGTTATTACAAATCCGGTAAATAAATGTCACTCCACTAAAATGTTTGTTGGAAGAGCAGTGACATATGCAGACAAAGCTTTCATTTAAATATCATTAAAAATTCCGATTGTCGTAAATATATAGGCACTGCATATATAAAACCTGATGAGTGTTAAAGTTATGTTTATCGCAATTACTAAAATCTACTAAAATGCCTAAAATCAAAGTATCTAATATTGCCAATTACGGTGCAATAAAATCAAAAAATATTGACATTTTAAAAAAATGCAAATAGAATATCAGGTTAATCTCCTCTCAATTTCATAATATTTATTGAGAACAACTCATCCCGACGTACAAAAATGATTATATTAGATGATGATTCATAATTGTCTTTTAAATAAAGAAATAATCAAATTTTTGTTTAACACAAGCAGAAACTGAAATGTCTTTATCCTTATATTATTCATATTTTATTTTAAAACAAACTCACTAAGAGGCATTAAAAATTACTGTTTTCAAATGATGGTGTATTATATAAAAAGAAGAAATAAAGACATTTTAATCAATCCGAACACAATTTTAATATCTTTTCTCTTGTATCCTTTATTATGATGAAAAACAACCATGACTGAATTTCAGATAACAGAGCAGTAATTGCAATAAAAAGAAGAACTATGTGCATTTTTAAAATATGCAAACGAAATTTTAATGTCTGATCTCTTAAATTCATTATATTGATGACAACAACCCATTCTGATGTACAACAAATACTAATACAAAATGTAAGTTCATGATTTATATTAAGAAAAAGAAATATTTGCACTCTTCTTCAACACAAACAATAGTTTGGGTATCTTTACGCTTATAATATTAACATTTAATGGAGAAAAAAATAATTCATCAAGAGGAATTTAAGATGCAAAATAAACGATTGCAAATTAAGGTACATTGATTTTGATAAAACTAAAAAATATTTGCATTTTCAAACAATGCGAACAAAATGTTAGTAAGGTTTATCTAATATTCATCATATTTCTAATTTAAAAAAAAAAACCAACTCTTCCAGATGAACAAAAACTACTAATACCAAATGAAGGTTCATGATTTGTATTTAAATGAAGAAATAATTGTACTCTTCATCAGCACAAAGACAAGTTTAAAATATCTTTATTCTTATATCATATTCATTTCATTTACATTTTATTTTTAAACAAAACTCATCCAAAGTCATCAACTTGATTGTTTGCAAGTAATGGTGCATTAATTTTGATAAAGAGAAGAAATAGTTGCATTTTGTTAGCAATACAAACAGAATTTGAGTATTTTTTCTCTTGTGTACATTGTATTTTATAAAAAGAGAAAACCCATCCTCAAGTTCAAAAAGGACTAACACCAAATGATGGTTAATGATTTCTATTACAACGAAGAAATAATTGTATTATTCATTAACATAATTAAAAGTATAAAAATCTTTACTCTTATATCATTCACATCTTATGAAATAAATTTAAAAAGATCATCCAGAGGAATTTAAAATAAAGATTTCAAAAATGGAACATTAATTTTAATAAAAAGAAACAAATATTGACATTTTTAAACAATGCGAACACAGTTTTGTAACTGGTCTCTTAATATTCGTCTTATTGTATTGATAACAACCCATCTTGATGAACACAAAGTACTACAAATCGACGATATGTCATGATTTCATTCCAATAAACTAATAATTGAACACATGTTATCAACATAACATTATTCATATTTCATAAATTAATCACGTATTAAAAGGTATTTAAAATGAATGGTTGAAGATAAAGGCGCATTCATTGTAATAAAAAGAGGCAACATTCGCATGTTTAAAGAATTTGAAAACATTTGTAGTATGTTTTCTCTTATATTCATCATATGTTATGAAAAACAACACATCATATTGTAAAACAAAGGGCTACAAACTAATGACGGTTCATGATTTCCATTTAAATAAATAAATAGTTGCACTCTTATTCGTCACAAACAAAAGGTCAAGTACCTTGATCCTGAGATTATTTACTATATATATACACTTATCCAGAGGCATTTACAATGACTGATTGAAAATAACAGTGCATTATAATTTATCAAAAGATGACATATTGGCATTTTAACCATTGCGAACAAAATATTAGTATATTTCTCTGATATTCAGCATATCTTATGAAAGACAACCCATCTCATATTAAAAAATGACTAAAAACCAATGACAGCATGTAATTTAAAGATGAATGAATAAATAATTTAGATGCAGAAACGATCGCACTCTTATTCAACACACAAACAAGTTTAAAGGTGTTTATTCTTATATTATTTACATTTTATAAAAATTAACTCTAGATTGACTGATTGCACTTGGTCCTGCCATTTTTTTCCTTAGTTAGTTCTCAAATGGAAGCATTATTATAATACATTCGTAAAAGATTTCACGGAACCCTGTGTCTCGTCTGATACTGCTGTTGTCAGTGTAAAAGCGTAACGTTGACTGTACATTTATCGGTAAAAAAAAATTTAAAAAAAAAAAGTTTTGCTGTAGATGCTTTATCTTGATCTTGAAGAATGACTCCTATCCAAGTTTTATAACAATTCATGGAGGTTTACAAATTTATCAAGTCAAAACAGTTTAGTTCGGCAATATTTAATGCAAAAAAACCCTTATATAAAAATAAGAAAATATGGAATGAATGTCAATAAGACAACTCTCAACCACATACCAAATGACGTAGAAGTTAACAACAATATGTGACTGTATAGTCTTCAACAATGAGCAAACCCATACCACATAGTAAGCTATAAAAAGTCCCGAAATGAAAATGTAAGAACAATTTAAACGAGAAACCTAACGATCTAAATGATGAAGACGCCGACACCACTACCGACGACGGAATATAGGTGTGTTGTGTCTCACTGCCGCTACATTAATGTCGCAGGCTCGACACAAATCAAAAGACTTGTACTTTATTGTCAACAAATGAGACATTTTAAATCAACTCACACTAAAGTTACAGGGAAATGGGGGGATCGGACTAAGCGACAAAGTATCAATTCTATAAAATAAGAATTCTCCGATTTTTTTAGCGTGTATGATCATTTGAACATATACGAATATCGATTTTTTATTTTTATAAATTGCATTCTCTGATATACCTCGCACTAATTGAAAATACAAACTTTTTGGAAAATCTGTTTTACAGGTGACGACGGATATGTTCCAGTTGTCGTGATCACAATCCCGTCATATTTTCCTAGAATTTGAACTACCAAATAAAACCAAATCACTGGGTTTGTACTTTCACGAATAACACGACGGGTGCCACACGTTGAGCAGAATGTGCTTACCCTTACTGAGCACCCGAGATCACCCCCGATGAATTTATATTACCCAGTCATACAGATCTAATGAGTTGAAACTGTTTTTTACACTTTTTTCTTATCTTGTGCTGTTACACTACAGTCCGATGTTAAGTTAGGGTTTAGCGCTCACATACAAGTTAAACTCCGCCATGTGCACTTTCTTTATGTGCCTGCCCCAAGTCAGGAGCCTGTAGTTCAATGGTTGTCGTTGTTTCATGTGTGTCATATTTGTTTTTCGTAGATTGTTTAGTTATTAATTAGACCGTTAGTTTTTCTCGTTATAATTGTTTCACATTTTCACGTGGTGGTCTTTTGTAGCCGACTATACGGTGTGTTGAAGGCTGAAGGGAAGCCTATGATTGCTTACATCCACTGCATTTAAAGTCTGGTGGAAAATTGTCACATTGGCAATCACACCACATCTAACTTAATAACACTTTCTTTGTTGTGTTTTGTATACTGTAACATTGTTTATCTTTTATACGCATACCCCTGAGCCCTCTTATCAGAAGCCCGAGCAAAAGCCCTTGATCCGCGATAGAAAATTCAAATACGAACTCATATTACATAACTCGAATTTCAACTCGAAATCTTAATGTAAATGAGACTCAAATTCGAGTCTAACTCGAACTCAACCTGTAAAGGTGACTCAAATTCAAAGTTGAAGTCGAATTGTAACACGAACTCTACCTTTAAATGTGACTCAAACTCGAAGTTCAACTCGAAACTCAATGCTAACTAGAACTTTAATTCTAATAATGGCTTGCATTCTAACTTGAAAGCGAAGACTAACTCAAAGTTTAACTCCAACAGTAACCCGAACTTTAATTTGAACTCTAACTCGATGGATGGCCACACTCATCAAAGGCAAATATAACATGGAAATCTATTTAAAATAGAACTAGTTTTTCCGAAGTGGTCACGTGGGTTTACCTCATCAAGTAATGTGATAACCACATCAAAGAATGACAGGACCACATCAAATACTGAAACAAGCACATAATGAAGTGTAAAATCGTCAAATTTTGAAACATCATTACGTAATGTTAAAGCCATATAAAGAATAGGCAAATCATCATTACGAAATCGCATCGAGTAATGCCAAAACCATATTAAGTAATGACAAAACTATATCAAGTCAATACGAAACCATATCGTGTAATATCGAAATATCATTAAGTAATGACTATTCCGTATTGAGTTATATCAAAACATCATTACGTTATGTCATAACCATATCATGTAAAGACAAAATATCAGCAAGTAACACATGTAATAATAAAACAACATAACGTAATATCAGAGTTCCACATAAGACTGCTGTGGCGTTTCATAAATTTGTATAAATACATTTTCAAGATAAAGATGTAAAAGATCATTATTATAAGTTGGTGATATATTCATTCTCTTCATTACTTATCTAGATGCATACACTATATATACACTATATATATTTTGAACTTGTGAAAGTTTACTGGAGACGACAGGGTCTTGAAGATATCGATCGGTACTTTAACAAAAAACCAGTTATTATGAAAACTAGTTTTGGTCATATGACTGATTTTATGGTAAAATATATGAGTAATCAACTATTATATACAATGAATAATTGATAATGCATGTATCTGTTTTTGAAAAAGGTTATTTTTCTGAAATGGTATGAATTTGAAACCCCTATAGGGATAAATCTCAATGAAATGTACTAAGTTTTATTTTCAAGGTATTTAAATTGAGTAAGAATGGAAAGACTTCTTTTTGACACTCCAACTATTATGCATATTCTGTCAATTATGAGGGTTTCAAAATTCAATCCTTGAATTTATTCAGAAATTAAAAAAAAAAATTGTCATTGAAAATCATGAGCCAGTAATTGTCATCCAAAGGGTGAGTATATAATTGTGAACTGAATTTCAATAAATATGAACAAGTCAAATGAACAGATCATGCTGATAATAAAATATCCAAGCATTTACAAAGAGAACCATTCATGTACAGGTTTAAAAAAAAATCTGTATCTGCGGATAGACATGGTTACTCAGAATTGATTGTAATGTTATTGTTTCTAAAGTTGGTAAGATACAAAGGGAACAATACACAATACAATAAAAGGTTTGGTATATAGGGTGCCATTTTTACAAGGGTAAGAGGTATCTTTACGACTGAGAGCAAAATGTTATTGTAAATAGTAAATGTGTAGCCCATGAGTGGGGCAATATAAAAACATGGGTCAATCCTGGGATCTCTGTTTCTTCATATTTATCAATGATATCATCTCTGATATACAGTCCACTATGTAGTTGTTTTCAGACGATACTTAATAGTAGATGACCCCGGAAATTTAATGCATCCATGAAAAGTTTTTTTGAATCAATCCATGGTTAGTTTTTAAATAAGGTAATTACCTTTATCTGTCTGAAAACCGAGACCATAACAATCATACTGCACAGTCCTGATCTTCCAAAAGCTTAACATGGATATCGTAACTGCAATTGATATTACACACCGAACACCTTGGCAGACATATTTGAAATTGAGGCACTTGACACAAACAAATTGATAAAATAACCAAAGGGGCTTTTACAAACGTCTCAATGTTCGACGAAAGTTAAAATTCATCATAGACAGATGAACTCTCGAAACAACATACTTTACGTATGATAGACCATGGTAAAAAACAATATAACTGTTGTGACTGATATATTCAAACAGTACAAACAGAGGTTTTCATTATAGTTACTAGGGTACTATGCTTTTTTTTTAATTATATTTCATAACAGATTAGAAAAATAAAGTTTAAATGGACGCCCATGATAAATAAAGGCAACAGTAGTATACCGCTGTTCGAAATTCATAAATCGATTGAGAAAAAACAAATCCGGGTTACAAACTAAACTGAGGGAAACACATCAAATATAAGAGGAGAACTACAACACAACAGAAACACAACATTAAAATGTAACACACACAGAAACGAACTATAATATAACAATGGCCATTTTCCTGACTTGGTACAGGACATTTTAAGAAATAAAATGGTGGTTTGAACCTGGTTTTGTGGCTAGCCAAACCTCCCGCTTTAATGGCAATGTTAAATATAACATTAACATGACAACATTACATGACAGGACTACAATACAAATAAATGGGAGAACATATAGGACAAAGAAACATACGAATAATAGCTAAATATATGTCTACAAAAACCATATTGCAGCGGAACAGTAATCAAACTTAGTTCTAAGATACCATAGAACTATACCTAATCCTTATACATGACATGTGTCATTAATTCTCCACTGTTTGGACAAGAACTGCCCTTTATTGAAATAAGAATTTGCTTACATTCAGCCTGAAAATACGAAAGCTAACATTTTTGAACTTTAAAGGATTGTATCGAGTTTCGGCTAACTGAACATCAATTTTATAAGATCAAATTTATCATTAAGGACTTCCCAGTCAATTCACGTCTCTGAATCAGCATGTGTGTCTTAAAACTATGGTTGTATCATCACTGTATGTCTTAGAACTGATTAATATAAGTAAACATGTAGTTTCACGTGTGTCAGGATTCTATTCATTATTCATTGTATTAATAATTCATGTCAACATATGTTTACACTTAGTCCAATAAAACAGACAACAACATTGCAAAAAAAAAACAAGGAAAGGACGAAAAACAATAGCAATATTACATCGAAAGCTAACGACTGAGCAATACGAACCCCACCAAAACCGACGATACACGATTTCCGCAAAAAAGGAAACTTGACACATTCAATTTCTAATTAAGTAAATTTACGCCTAGCACCTTCATTCACAGAAACCAAAACTGTTATTGTTTTAAAACCTTTGTAAGATGTTAATTTGAGGGAAAAAAAATTGGAGGACATCGTATCTTTAAATGCCAAAAAAAGAGTAAGCACAAATTATTACACAGGTACATGATTCCTCAATGACAAAAGACAAAACAATCAAGATCTCTTCGTTTCAATCAAATATCATGTACAAGCATCGGTTATATAGAATTGGTTTCGTCTTTTCAATTATGATTTTCTCAAAAAAGGGTCCTTCTTACATGGAAGCTATTTAATCCAAATTTCCTAATAGTCATCCTTTCGCATGTTTTGCATACTCCATCCTGATTCCGACGACAATACTTGACAATTGAGACACAGATGACCAAATTCAAGTTTCACAAGTGGTATTTACAGTTTTGTCTTCCTTTTATATATCTATTTTGACATTAACAAACGAGACTCATCTCTGAATGTTTACTTGTGATGAACAAGAAGAAGGGTAAAACTAACTTTTCCATCCGCAGCTCCCGGATTCGGTGAAGTCAGCGTTGCAAAATTCATTTTCTTGTGTGGTATTTTGTCGTTTGCATTTCAGAATTTTCTATTTTAGAGCTTGTTTCACAGAAAACCATGCAAAAGTCGTGGAGGTGGGTGGTTAAAACTCTTCTGACTAACGAATATTTTTAAACTATTATGTACACTGGTAATCTTAATATGCATTGAGACTCCTCATTATTGTGTCTATTTCTAATAACAAGCTTAAATATCCATAAGTGCGTGTTTTATATTTACTAGCCAAGTTTAAGCTAGTGGTTTTTAAACAGGTGAGCCAATGAATAAATGAAATAGATATCTTTGCACACATTGTTATTATCTTTAAAAAATATAAAAAATCCACCGATGAAAATAAGTACTAAATATTGAAATGTTTACTTGAAAACCCGACTTTGAGTCTTTCCGACATTTTTTACTAAACCAATTATGAGTAAATATCACACAAAAAATGATGTAAAAATAAATTAAAATGATCAATTTTGCACAAATAAACATTTTGATTTAAATAAAAGCATTTCCAAATTTATTTCTTCAAAACAAATAAAGATTTTGTAACTTTCACAAAAGTGTTATCAAAAGTTATTTCCCATTCTGACATTCTCCGCATGGAAGACACATTTGTTTGGGAATATTTTTCATTATATAAAGATACCGATATGAGAGGTACTTGTGCCCATAAAACAGCTCTGAAACTTGCAACTAAGCTTGTTTGTGTTAGTAGGGCGTTCATTAGGCTTTGTTAGTGACATAAGGATACAACACACGTTTTACAATGTAGAGAGAAAAGTACAGAGAAATTCATAGTAAAAGACATTTAATTTTTTAAATTGGCCAACTTACCTTGGATTTATCAAAGCCATAGTTATTAATTTGTAGTTGCTTTCAACCAATTTTGAATGTTGTCAACAGTTGGGTGACAACCCGCCAAATTTGGAACTATTCCCCAAACGAGTAACAAATCGATATTAGAATCCATTCTCAATTCTGCCAAAAATGTCTATCGTATTGTCGGACAACAAGTTACTTTGTTCATATAGAATAACATAGCATTGCATTATGTCAGCTCAAAATACTAAATAATGTACAGCATAAGAACATTCTTCCACCTAAAAAAGTTGATACATAATTGTCTCTTACAGTGCATACATACATGCACATGCATGTCATATGCACCAACAAAACGCAAGTGTTTGTGGTATGAAATAATTGATTATTATTGAATTATTACATCCCAATCAAATGTTATCTACATATACCAGCCCACCATTTCACATAACATTTTATGAGAAACACATTCATCATAGATACCATAATTGTGAACGCCAGACGAGCGTTTTGTCTACAAAAGACTAATCAGTAACGCTAAAATAAAAAAAGCAAAAAATAAGGTACAATATTGAAGAGCATTCAGTACCCCAAAATCATAAAAATGTATGTTGAATACAGCTAAGGTAGTCTATTCTTAAGGTAGAAAAGCCTAAGTATTTCGCAAATTCAAAGTTTTGTTGGCCACTAAGTCATTAACATTTCATTATATATAACGACAATACTTTTTTTTTGTCGTAAGATTGTTTGTAAAACAGCACCTCAAGTAAAAAGCTACTAATATCCTTTGAAGCTTGTGTATAAGTGGGATATTTCCTTACTCTGTGTCATAATCAGATAGAAGATCCCAATTACACGAATTACAATAGTTGGATACGTAAAACAAATCAGGTTGAGAACTTAACAAATTCAAGGAATCAATAATTCATATCTGCCAACAAAATCATAGATGATATAAGATCTGATCTATTGCATAAAACAGAGTGTTTGAAAGTGAAAGTGAAATTGTGAAGACAGTGCGAAACTTACAAACAATACAATAGTGCTATAAATAGAAGAAAATATGATTTACTTGTGAATATGCAATGAGAACTACAAGCAAGACAAACATGACAACTCATAGAACACAGGCGCAATTTTTTTCGTAAATAGAAAGTACATCAGTCTTTTCAATTCAGCTGTTATCATTGTGGTTTTTTTTTATCATAATAAATTATATAATCACAATCATGAGTAAACTGCCAATTAAATAATACAAGATATGAAACAATTTAAACAAAATATCAAACAGCCTGGTCTTTGCTAAAACAATAAATGAAAAATAAATATGGCAGACAGCAACACAAGACAGCTACTGAATTACAGGCAATTGACTCAGGATGGACAAGTACAGAACAATTGTGTTAAAACTATTGCAATAACGTTTGTTGAGTGCTTCTTGGACTGTTCTCAATAAGGTTTTATGTGACGTCTTAATATTTTTCGGAATGTTTGTTTTTGGTGCGGATATGATTTTTTTTTAAACTACAGTTGATATGTTAAGTCTCAGTTTTTGATCAAAATTGTTTTACGGTTTTTATATTCCTTATTTAATCATATTCTGCTAAAATGCAGTAAAATGACCTTAGAAATTAGGCAAGAGGTACTTGCAGATTTATTGGATTATCACTTTACTCTAATAAAACCGTTTGTGTTTCGAGTTGATCCGAGGAGTCAATAGATATAAGAAGATGTGGTATGAGTGCCAATGAGACAACTCTCCATCCAAGTCACAATTTGTAAAGGTAAGCCATTATAGGTAAAAAAACCACCTTCAACGCGGAGCCTTGGCTCACACCGAACAGCAAGCTATAAAGGGCCCTAAAGATGACTACTGTAAAACCATTCAAACAGGAAAATCAACGGTCTAATCTATATAAAAAACGAGAAACGAGAAACACTTATAAACCACATCAGCAAACGACAACCACTGAACATCAGGTTCCTGACTTAGAACAGGTGCAAATGCAGCGGGTTTAAACGTTTTAATAGGCGCCAACCTTCACCCTACCTGAAACAATAGTGTAACACCACAACATAGAAAGACACACTATAAAAACCCTTTTTTTTACTGATTCGTATAGTTTATTCTTAAGTTGTACTGTTACATTAATGCCCTAGGTTAAGGAAGTGTTGAGCGCTTACATACACTAGCTTTTTTCTGTAAAATGCAAAATATGGAGTAATATCACTGATGCAACGGTTTTTATTAAGTATCAAAATCATCACTCATTAATTGCTTTATCAGTACAAATTTAAAATAATTCCAAATAATATTGTTCGTCCAAGAAGAACTTGAAGTCACAAATGAAAAGTCCCTTTGATTTCGTTTACTATATGCTTAAAAACAATCTAGCAACAGAAATGTTGCCTAGCAACGGTTAACAAATGAGTGTTTTTCTCCCTCTGAAGTATGAATTTAGCAGTTGCTTGAAGATTTTTCTTTTCCATATGGTGTTTCATTCCAATATATTATCATATACTTCTTTATTCATAACAAATTCCGTATTGAGCATAGCAACACAAATGTTGCTTAGCAACAGCAAAAAAAATGTTGGAATTTAAAGACAACTACGAATCAACAAGTCATTTTATTGAACAAATTAAAATGAATGCAATGCAGATTGTCTGTTTATGAGCAACTTTTAGTTAGAAATGAAAAGTTAGTTCAATTGTAGTTCACTAAATGCTTTTCAACAGCTAAGTTGCATAGCAAGTGCATAGCAACCGTTCAATAATAGGTTCTTTATGTTATCTGAAGTATGAATTTTGTAATTTTGGAAGAATATACATTTTTCCATACTTGATAAAAATGCGGACGTGAAAGAAAGTACTTTTCACAAAAGCGTCAACAGAGATTAATACATTCCAGGGCGACGATTTCGTCATTTATCAAGCAAAATATGTGTTTCTAAAGGGTAAAGTTGTACTAAAATTTAATGTTGACACCAATATCGATCTGTTGGGTATAGAATTTGTATTCAAAATTTTTGGTTAGAATACACCATTCCACGGAGATTACATGCTTAACAAATCACTGCAGTTTTTACGTTACAAAAGACATATGTATGCTTCGACATGCCAATCCACGATTAATGTCTGTGTCACAGTGTTCTTAATATTGAACTTTAGTCAAATAGGAACTGTTTGAGTATGAAACAGTTATTGAATAACTTTGGTTTCATTTACATTCCCAAAATTTCTCTGAAGTTTGTCACAGTTCCTTCTGGTTTTTTTTTTTTTTTTTTGTCTTCTTCCGAATACGGGAGTAGACTCCTAGGTAGGGGTGTTAAACTTCCCGGAACTTGTGTGCTATGTAGATATGGACTTAATTAAAATTAATGTAAACAATAAGGGAAAATAGTCTATGGAATAACATATATACATTATGTACAGTGGCTTTGGTAGTTTAATAAGTTGATGAGGGTCCTTCAAATGTTAGAGTAGATATGCCACTTTTGAAGGATTCCAGGGTGTCAAACATACCTATTGCTTCAGGTAGAGCATTCCAGTCAGAGATGGTGTTCGGATAAAAAGAATAGTTATAGAAGTCTTTATTAGTTGCTAGTTGCCAAAATTGATGTTGCCCCCTATATATATAGCTAGTGCGTCTGTCAGATTTTGTTAAGTTGTCCTTTGGAACTTCTACCAACCCCCAATTAATGTTAATCTAGCTTTTGTTTCGTCTGTTATGTAAACGTTCCCTTTGTAAAGAATTCATCATGTTCGAAACTGCTCCCGGTGTTCTGTCTTTATAATCGTTATAGACAAATCTGGCTGCTTTACGCTGAATCTGCTCAACCTGAGTGATTTGGTGCTTTTTGTACGGATCCCAGACAGGGAAAAATTATTCGACGACTGGACGGACAAGTGATGTGTGCGTAAGGTTTATAACCTTACGTGTGTAGTTTTTTAAATTTCTACGAAGAAAGCCTAAGGTTTGATTTGCCTTGCAGGTAATATTATTTTTATGTGTTCCCCAATCAAGATCATGGCTTATAGTTACACTATGGAACGCTAAAACTGTCTTATTATGCCCATTTTCATCATATGATGTGCATTTATCTTTATATGATGTGCACTTGTCATTATATGATGTGCAAACACCTTTACATGGTGTCCAGTTGACATTATATGATGTGCAAATATACTTATATGATGTGCAAATATACTAATATAATGTGCAAACATCCTTATATGATGTTCAAATATACTTATATGATGTGCAAATATACTTATATGATGTGCAAATATACTTATATGATGTGCAAATGTACTTATATGATGTGCAAATATACTTATATGATGTGCAAATATACTAATACGATGTGTAAATGTATTTACATGATGTGCAAATGTACTTATATGATGTGCAAAGATCCTTATATAATGTGCAAATATACTTATATGATGTGCAAATATCCTTATATAATGTGCATTTTTCCTTATATTATGATCAAACATCGTTATATGATGTGCTTGTTTCATTATATTATGTGCATGTAACATTATATGATGTGGTTCGGATTACTTCATTATATGATGTCAAAACGTACTTATATGATGTGCTTTCATCGTTGTTATGGTCAATAAACATGAGCATGATTAGAACGATTACTCTCTACGTCATAACTGATTCCGATCTGCTTCTCCGGAATTACGGCTCAAATCTGTAACTATTGTTTGTAAAATGGATGAGATTTTTAAAGAGATAAACCTTGTCACGTTGCTACCTCGTTTAAAGATGAAAAAAATCACATCTGATATTGTTGCAAAATTGTCAAAATATGAATTGCAAAGTTTAGGTTTTATCGATGGGTCTATAAAATAATTAACATACTGCTAAAGTGGATATATTATGACAATCTAATTAAAATATAGTTTTCTGATTTCGTTATGCTCATATGTGTACGAGCACGCGAGTTTAGATAGATATGAATTTTAATTAGATTGATATTATAAGTCCTCGACTGTACCTGGAGTTCAAATATTTAATCTACCAGTATCCTGCTTTTTTTTAATGAAAGTTTACTGTTTCTGATCTAGCAGATCCAGCCTCGTATCAGCTTCCGAAAGTGCAAGTTATAGAAAAGGTGAGACAGTGCAATTCATTGAAAAAAATACACAGTGCAATTAAACTAAAATCAACGTTTCAAACATTTCGGAGGAAGATTTAGATCCAATGAAAAAGGAGCTAGTTGAAAAATTTCCTTGCTGTGGCAAAAATATGATAAAAGAACTT